AAAAAAAAAAAAAAAAAGAAAAGAAAAAGAAAGAAACTTACAAATGTCACATAATAGGAGAAAACCTAAGAAACGAGATGTACTCAATCCAAGACACAAATAGTTTGCCAAGAAGAGAAAGGTAAAGAAAAACTAGGACATGCATTATTTTCCCCCCACAAAATTAAGACTTCAGAACATTCTTTTGATGTAAAAGAAAAACATTAGAATTATGTGATTCCCTGCAAAGGACTAAGAAAATTAAGCACTAATCAAAGATAATCTTTAATTTTCATGCCAACCAATAAAAACAATTCCCTCACCTGAACAAGGGAGTCTTCCACTTTACAAAATCACGAATCTTCCTGTACCAAAAGAGGTTCACTTCTCTTACAGCCATCCTGGCTGATGAGTGTGTCTAAATAGTTGGGTGGCGGGAAGATCAGATTACTCTTCCGCTTCCGCCTGGAAAGAAACTCACCTGAAGTCGCCTGGGGTCTCCTTTCGTTTCAAGTAAATCCTGAGTTGTGAGAAGAGACTCGCTTTTCTCACAGCTCTCCTGGCTGATGAGCGTGTCCGCATAGTTGGGCTGGGGGAAGATCAGATGACTCTTCCGCGAGTCTGCAGTGAGTGAGACCTCGTGGGAATAGGTCTGCAGGAAAGCCCGAACCCCGTCCACGCCCACAAAGTGTGAGCCGGGCATGCTTGCCAAGCCACCTCCCAAAGCCTGCAGCCGGCGTGACTTGTGCCAGCGCCGAAGCCTGAGCGCCAGCAGCACGATGACGAAGGCCAAGAAGACGCAGGAGACCACAGCCACCGCCACCACCAGGTACAGCGTGAGGTCAGAGTTGTGAGAACCGTCGGAGGGCTCCAGGCTGCCCAGGTCGGCCAGGATTTCCGGGATGCTGTCGGCCACAGCCACGGTGAGCGTGACAGTGGCGGAGAGAGGGGGCTGGCCGTGGTCCTGGACGGCCACCACGAGGCTCTGCTTGAGCGCGTCTCTGTCCAGCAGGGCCCGAGCCGTGCGCACCTCGCCCGTGTGCAGTCCCACCGCGAAGAGTCCCGGTTCGCTGGCCTTGAGCAGGCGGTAGGACAGCCAGGCGTTCTGGCCCGAGTCTCTGTCCACCGCCACCACCTTGGTCACCAGGTAGCCAGGCTCTGCGGAGCGGGGCGCCAGCTCCACGCCGGTGGAACCGTCTGTGGGGATGGCGGGATACAGGATCTCGGGCGCATTGTCATTCTGGTCCAGCACAAACAGGCTCAGTGACACGTTGCTGCTAAGAGGCGGGTCCCCGCTGTCGCTGGCTGTCACCCACAGCTGTAGGTCTCTCAACTGCTCATA